GGAATTATTAGTAAGGGAACTGGAGTGATAGAATTGAAATGTCTTTATTTTTTAAGCAGGAGAATTGAGAATAGGAACTGAGAAAGCAGAAATAGCTTTTAACTGCATAAGCAGGATTCCTGTAATGCTTGGGTTTATTATGAAACAAAAAGCTATTGGCTTCAATCCAAAGCCAACACTACTTTTTTTTTTTTTTGCCGAACTAGGAGTAATTTTGATTCTGTAGCAGTGAAGACTCTTCACTGCTCAGTTGGAAGTTGAGATCTAAGTTTATGATTGCACTTGAAAAAAAAGAATAATTATTCAAATGAATTGAATAAATAATACTGCTAGATAAAACATTTCAATTTATCTAAAGTAAACTAAGATGGGGGAAAAAGCTGAGACATGTAAGTCTCAGCCACCAAAAGCCAACTACGGTTGTCAGTTGATTAGAATTATTATTGGCATGGGAATTATAAGGCTGCACCCCCATGCCATAGTCTTTATTCCATAATATAGGTCACCCAGTGTTTCTGTTGACTGTTTTGCCTTCACAAGACCACCGAAAGTGTGATGCTTGAAGAACCACAATCCATCCCAGCTGATCATCCACATTCTCCTGGGGATGGCTGGATTGGTTCTTAGGAAATTGCTTATGTCATATAGCCAAGATTTATAAACAGACTTCACATTTACAACTGTTGCAGCATCCTCTATGGTCACTTGATCAAAATTTGTGCACTTGGCTATCGCCATGTATTTATAAAGGTTGCAGCATCCTGGGGTCATGTGATTGCTATTTGCGATATTGCCAGCCAGCTTCTGATAAGCAAAGTTGTCCAGATTTGCTTAATGGCTTCGTGAGTCATCTGACAACCATGGCAAAAAGATAGTAAAAATTGTGTGACTTACTTAACAATTGCCTTGCTTAATAATGGAAGCTCTGATCCCAATTGTGATAGCAAGTCAAGGACCTGAAATGGCAGGGTGGGTTTTTCCTTCCTTCTGTTTTAGGCAAATGCAGGGTCCACTGTTTGGGTTGATCCATTGGTTGTGACAGGAAATGACCAACTGACTTGTCACCCAAGGCTGACATTGTGTACTGGCTGTCTCAAAGTCCCTCAGTCAACTTTCTGGGACTAGAATTCACTGGTATCTAGCCTGGTGCCTTAACTACTAGACCAAAGTGGTTCTAAATTACTACAAATAAGTTTTATTAAATTCATTTATCTTCATAGATATAAGTGAACTGTCTTGTCTTTTCACAACCTATGGTGGCTGCCGCTGAAATTACACTTTGTCATCCTAATGTCTTTGCAGTGTGAAATTGTAGGAGCTCCATTCTATTTTCTTACTTCTTTCCATCTTTCAAAAATGGAGGGCATCCCCTCTGTCTTTTAGTCAGAGCTTATAAAAACAAGTGCTGACCATCATTTCAGGAGCATATAGCATAAGGTTGTTTTGTGGGAGCACAGAAATAATGCTGTTCCTAAAATAAAAAACTGATGGCTTTTCTTCTCTCAAACTTAACTCAATTATTTGCTTATGCATCATGCAACTGCCCCCTTGTTTAAGTTTTCAATAGAGGAAGAATGAAATAGTCAGAGGTGGTATTCAGCTGGTTCTCTCTGGTTTGGGTGAACAGGTAGCGCCGGCTGTGAGAGGCTCCGCCCACCCGCCCCTATGTAATGCATGAGCACTGTGCATGCACAGAACACACATGACTCACATTTGCAAACCGGTAGGAAAGGTAAGTGAATAACACTGCAGTTAATAGTCTAATCTAAATTTGGACCACTGGATTCAGTTATTCTTCATCAGTGCAGGAAGGAGTTCAAATTAAGACATACCCTCCATGGATGTCAATGGGTTTTAATTAATTAACTAATTAAAACATGGTCTTGGACTCATGGGATGCCAGCTTAGGGGCATGAAAGTCCTCCACCACCTATCTTTTCTCTCTAGTTGAGGACACAGACATTGAAAGCCTTTCCTTAATTACCGTAACTGTCATAAATCTAAAGGCTTTTCTCTCATTAAAATGTGAAACAATTGGAGAACTTCAGAAAAAAAATGAGAATTTTATACGTTAGTTTGTATCCATCATAAAGGTAGGTCCAAACGAGATGCAAATTGCTCCCAGGTGATTATTGTAAATAAATGATTCTGTTTGAGGTATAAATATAAGTTGGTGATAAATTTGAATTTAGTAATGTTCTTTACCTTGTAACTCATTTATTTCTCGGCAAAGTTGCCTTCTGCCTTCCTTTTCATGAGGACACATCAGTGGTGGGATACAACCGGTACGCCCCATTACGGGCATACCAGTGCCTGCTGGGAGCACCAGGTACCGTTCCAGTATGGTGCTCCAGAGGGCCTACCTGCCCGCTCTCCTTACTGCTATTTGAGCCAATCAGGACATTTGTGCACATGCACGGAGCATACGGCGCCTGTGCAATGCTCTACCTAGCAGCTGGAGCATTGCGGGCAGTGGGTACACATGCATGCGTTACACGCATGCTGTGCATGTGCACGTGGTGGGTGCCTGGCCCCGTTGCAGCATACCGGTTGCCACGGGTTCTGGAATCCACCATTGGGACACATCCATGGATATTGAATCAAGAAGACAGGAAACAATAATAATTCAAGGTTGGTGGCCATATTTAAATTAAGCCTTCTTTACAGATTAGAGATATATCACTGATACCTGCCAAGGAGACATGAGCACAGAGGGGAACAATAGAGCACTTTAAATATCAAAGAGATACTTCACAAAAAAAGGCAGAAACCTTTTGAAGAGGCTTGATGTAATAGATTTTGAGGTGAATCCTAGAAGGAATTGGTTGGTAAATTCACCTTAACAAGGGAACTAATAATCTAGAAAGGAAGTGAACTATTATTATTGGTGGTTTTCAACTAGAGAAAGTGTCCAGTAGAGTTACCAAAGCTATAGATTTTCTCCATTAAACATGAAGAGTTGATGTAGATCAGTGTTTTGTAACCTTGGCAACTTCAAGATGCATGGACTTCAACTCCCAGAATTCCCCAGCTAGCGTGCAGAGAGTTGAAGTCCACCCATCTTATAGTTGCCAGGGTTGAGAAACATTCTAGACAGTTGATAAAGCTTTTTCTGGTGCTATGGATTTAGGATTTATCCACTGATATTTTGCTAATTATTATCATACATTATAATAATGGTAATAATATAATAATGAGTCTTGTATACTACCTTGAATAAAGTTTTAGCTGTTTCAGGTGAGTATTTCTCAACTAAAAATGTGGTGTACTACAGACAAAATTACTACAAAATATTTAGAAATTCCTCTTTTTCCAGTTTAAAAGACTGGAAAAAATGGGTCTTGCTTTAATATAAGGCAACATTGTTGATGCAAGGAGAAATAGTGCTAGTTTTGCAATTTTCATCTCTTTCTTACAGGGGCCTTCTCAGAGTGCGGATAGGAGGAAGTCAAGATGCTGACCACAAGAAGCAATTAAAGTCATCATCTGCATAGAGGTATGATTTTTTTGTAGCTGTCAGGTAATCTTCCCCTTATAACCATTTCTTTAGTGACTGTTCAACATTACAAGAGCACTGAAAAAGTGACTTATGACCGTTTTTCACATTTACGACCGTTGCAGCATCTCGGCAGTCATGTGATCAAAATCTGATACTTGGGACCTGGCATGTATTTATGATGGATGCTGTGTCTTGAGGGTCAAACATCACCTGTTTGATGTTCTGGCAAGCAAAGTCAATGGGAAAGCCAGACTCAATTAACCTCCATGTTACTAACTTAACAATTGCAGTGATTCACTTAACAACTGTGGCACGAAAGATCTTAAAATGGAGCAAACCTCACTTAACAACAATCTTGCTTAGGAATGGAAATTTTGGACTCTGTTGTATTTGTAAATCAACAACCCTTTGAGGTGCATTGACCTGAGAGAGACTGAATGGCCCAAGATCAGCCAGCTGGCTTCCATGGCTAAGGTTGGAATATAATTCACTGTCTTCTGCTTTATAACATGACATTTGCTGCAAAATCCTGGGAATTACATTCGCTGCATATACAAAAGGCCTCTGGTTGAGCAAGACTTGGGTGGAAGATAACAGATAAGTACAAAAGTCAGGTCACTGTATCCCTAAACAGATGATTCGTGAAAAGCTGTAAAAAGAGACAAGAGATCTGGAATAGGGCAGGTCTTATAAATTTCTTGTAAATAAATGTCTCTATAAAATATAGCTCTTTAAGCAAAAAAGCTAACACATTTTTATTCACAGGTGCACAAAGCAACACTTCTGCGTTTAGGAAACAAAATGTTTAAGAAGGTGGATAATAGTCTTTTAGAACATTAAAGTTTTATCTTGCCTTTCCCTTTCATTTCAAAAGTAGGACAAAGTCCATAGGTGATAAAACTACTAAAAAACCCAAGAGAAGCAGGGGTGAACAGAAATGATTTACATGCCCTGTTTGGCTTCTGTATTACAAAAACAGATGTGGAAGTTTTACTAGATAAAATCCATAGTTGCCAAAAAGGTCATGTCTGCTTTCCTTACAATCTGTTGCAATAATAAGAGAAAATGATTTTTCCAGAAATTACATGTTTTATTTTACATGCTGAAATTGGAAAGAATGGAAAATATTTTAACTATGACCTCTGCATAACGCCATCGAAACATTTGTCAAAGGGTTATTAGGAGTGAAAGACAGAAATAATAGATGTTGTGTGTTTTCAGCTGTTTTCCCGTCTGTTTTTGTTCATCTGTTTACTTTCTTTTCCCTATCTTGCTTGCCTCTTTCTCAACCTAACCAAGTTGCAGACCACAAGCAATCCAAACCTCAATGTGGATTTTGTCATATGTATCTTTGGGTAGCAGTAAACATTAAAGGCTGCATAATGCAGCTTGCCGAAAACCTTATCGCCCATATCAGGTTTTCTGAAAGTATAGAACAAAAGTCAAAATTTGTGCTCTTAAGCATTCCAAATGTTTGTCTCCATTCTTACTCTGCAGACAAAAGACATTTGGCATACAAGTCAATGCTAAGTAAGGATCTTCGCTGATGGATTTTAACATGTTCATCACCAGCACCATACTAAATCCGTGCAATGTCATTTGGCATGGATTGCAAATGTTATTTTCTTCTGGCTAGGACAGAGTGTAAGAATGACATTTTGTGACCCAGATAGATTTTCCCTCAGGCCAATATCTCAAGTTTCTTGCAGGACCAAAGTCATTTTTTGTGATATTAGTAGTTTGGGGATATGACATAGACTTGATGATACCTGTTCCATTCTCCTGTTTGTTGGGCTGGGGAAGACCTGGTTTGCTGGTGGATTTCTTTGCCTGCTCTTAGCATTCTATGTTGGATAAGAGTGAAGAGAAGCACATAAGCAACTTCGAAATACTTTGGAGGATTATGGCATGGAAAAATTGCTGTGTGAAACTGTCCTAAGTAGCTAGGAGTGAGGCTTAATGTCTGTGTAAGATGGCCTTGTTGAGTTTTCTCTCATGTGAAAAGTGCTGCCTGAACAAGAACACACATAAAAAGGTTGTGTTGTGTTTCAGATTGCTGTAGGTATATAAGTGGCAAACATGGGGAGAAAAATATAATAAAAGTCAAACTGATCCCTTGGGTGCTTGGATCCTGTGAAACATCAAGCTCTCTATTAAAAAAAGTAGAAAAACCAGCTGTGCAAATGCAAAATTAATGCTTTTTTCGATATATTCCTTTTCAACACAGATAGTCCTCGACCTACAGTAGTTCATTTAGTGACTGTTCAAAGTTACAACCGCACTGAAAAAAGTGACTTATCA